AAACAAACAGACAAAAAATATCAAAATAACCCAAATCTCAATGATTACCATTTTTTGGTGCTAATTTTTTTCCTCTGGGCCTCAAATACTGCCCTTGAAAACTAAGACTACATAAAATTACTAGTGGGTAAGACTGCCTTTTTGATTTAGAAACCTGCCACAGATGTGTCATTCTAAGAAGTGAACAAAATCCCAAAACTGAATAGAAACCTACAATTTAGAAAATTCTTACCTGGAAGACTTGACTTGTTTGGTAGCATCTCTTCAACATGTTCCTCTTTCTCATCACAGGGATCCTCTTCATCTGACAGTACTAAGAAAGCCTCTTTCGGCAGACTTTCATTGCTTTCCTGCTTGGATGGTGAACCCAAACAGTTATCTATTTTCTCTTCTAAATCAGGAACTGTGTCATCCACTGGAAGCAAAGAACTTTTGGAAAAACAGCTCAGATCATCTTCAGCAGGTGCTAGTTTTTCCAAAATTGGAATAATTTCATCTGTTTCCATACAATCAGAATTGTCCAAGATACTTTCACTTGGCTCATCTATTGTCTTTGGAACTGTGGTTTCTGAAAGTCCTGCATTTTGTTCTTGTTTTTCCTGGTCATCTTCCACACTGCTAGAGATGGCTGCTTCTCCAACAGCCTCTTCAACAGTTACTTCTTCAGTCCTCTTTTCCTCCCCAGATGAATTGGAATTAACAGTTAAATCATTCATTTCTCCCTTCTCTTCTGAAGTGTCACTAATATCACAGACTGATTTACTTTCACCTTCCAATGGGATATCACTCTTTCTTTGGTCTAAATGATCTTTTCCACTATTTTCTTCATGTAAGTTACCTTTATTGCTACCAACCACTCCATTTTCAGCCTCACAATTTACTGTAGTATCAGTGTCTTTAGCTTGCTCAGGAGTAACATTTTGTGGAGACAGTTTTAGAGGTTTGGGTTCTATTTCACTGACTATGTTCCCTGCCTCACTTTCAGGGCTTTTGGCCTCACTAACTTCATCAGAAGCTGTTCTTCCTTCTTCAGAGTTATTGCACAAGTCAACTACGCCATTAATTTCTTTTTTATCTGCCATGCAATCCGTATTGCTTAAAAGGGAATTTATATCAGAATCTCCATTTTCATGTTTTCCATTTAACAGTTTAACTTCAGTTGTCTTCAACAGCTCCTCTTTAACCTTATAGACAGCTTCAAGTTGTTGCCGATCACTTACTCTCATTGTTTTTCGTGCTTTAAAGACTTTTTTCTGAGGTTCCTCTGTGCTCTCCATCTTAGCCCTTAAAAAGAATGTTCAGAAAGATCTATGAAGATAAAAAATGTATCACTGTCATATTACAGTGCTGCTTAGCACATTTTCAAGTAAACCAGYCAAAATATGATCAACAATAACAAAGAAACACCTGTCAGAACTTTAATTTTGACCTCAAAAAACTGAATCTTCTACAGATGCTGCACACATTTATGCAAAGTTTACAGAGGTTCCACTCTAACATTAGGCAGTAATATTCTGACTGTATATTTTAGACCACTTGTCTCATAGTATTGCATTAAAAAAAATTATATTGAGGCAAGAGCCAGCAGTCTCTCTTCTCATAGAAAGATAAAAATAAATATAAATTGATAGATCAAGAATACTTCCATCTTTCTAAAAGTATTTAATTTCATGAACTTCAAATAGAATTTATAACTATGGCAAATGACAAAATTTTTATAYCAAATCACTTTTAAGAAAACTTTATTATATACAAAACATTTCTCAATGTATCATTAAGGCACTTTCTTCTGCATAAATAAAATAGATATTMATCTTCCATATGTATACAATGTTTAAATGAACTTTGATTTTTTAGACCACTTTCATTCCATTTGCAATAACATTTTACTAAGACTATCTGTGGCCATAAAAACTACAGGTATGGCAGCACCTTGTAGAAAAATTTCCTCTTTCAAGGAAAACTGGTGGGTTTGCCCTCAACACAGTTATATTCATTTCATCCACCCACACAAGTATTAAGAAAAATGAAAATGTTTACTAAAAATGCAAGAAAAATGTTCGAAAATCATTTTTATCAAATCAACACAAGGAAATAATTCCAGCATTACCTAGGAAATTGCAAGGATTTTGTTGAAATACAACAAAATCTGGTATCATGTTTCCATAAAACAAAACAAATCCATAGGGATTTTTAAAATACTTTTTCCTCAYATGGTCTTGCCTAAGGGCCTAGTTTCAAGGGATTATATATGATAATGTTCAGAAGCAGAAAGCAGCTAAAGAAGTTCTTGTACCCTGAATGTAACCCTCAGCAATTAAGATCTTGAATCAGCTGTTGCTAACCAATTTAAGTCCACTGAAGCTACAAACCATCATAACTTACTCCTATCGAACACATATAACTTTCATTAAATTTCTCAAAAACATGCAAAAATTTTATTAACGGTAATTAAAAGAGAAAATAATTAGGCAGTTATCTTTATATGACTTTTCCTCCACAAGCACCAGATAAGCAAACATTTATAGCACTGACACAGCAGAATTATCAGACAAAGGATGCTCTTCAAATACTTAGCATGACTCATTTTGCATCAACTCCCAATTAATTTTAATTTACAGAATTGAATAATTAATAAACTGCATTTTATCTTTTCAGGTGGGATATAATTATTTTAATTTTTTTRGTAGAAGAAAGCAGTACTACTGCCAACATTAGCTCAGATCAAGGACAATTTTGTGTAACCACAAGTTCAAGAGCATTCAAACAATCCTTTCGGGCAAATGGAATGACTCTTGGGGTTGTCCTGTGACAGGCAAGGAGTTGTACTCGATCCTTGTGGGTCCTTTACAACTCGGGATATTTGATAATTCTACAATTCTATGAACCAAGCCACAAAATTCAGAACACAGATGCCACTGCCTCTAAATAACAATTTGGCTCCATTCCATTTTGTAGCCAGCCTTGCCTACAGGTTTTATTTAGGCAGTCCTAATACTGCCCTTTAGCCTTAGCCTTCTCTTCAGCAGACTGAAGCTGTCAAACTCCCTCAGCATCTCATCACAGGTCATCTGCTTTAGTTCCTACCATTTTGGTCTGCTGTATCTTTCCTAGTTTATTTGGAACTAGTTTTTTGTGAAGAAGATGATTTCTTGCTAACTACAATAGTCTACATCGTAAGATAAGAATAAGATATTCTAAAGCATAACATAAATTCAACTATTAACACAAACTTTAAAACCCCACAGCCATGATGTACCATACATTATAATTATAAGGCTTCATTTACACTTMGTTAACATGAGTTAACATGACAAAAATGAGGATAAAGCATAAAGCAGTTTTTGGCATTTCCTTTTAACTTCACATTGAGCTTCCTTCCGCTTTATTTCAGTTCTTTTCCGCAAAAACAATCTAGAATCCTCAGATTTGAATTACTGACAGTACTTAACACTTTGACTCACACCTCAAGAACAGATGAACAAGTCTTGACAAAAGGTCTATTAGGTCTATTTACAGACTTTCAAGTAAGAGTATTGACAATTGTGACAATTTTTTTGCCATTCTGAACTTGATTTTCTGAACTTTCTGAACTGAATTGTCTACTGCATTGCCACTAGTGGGAGCACAATACAACACCTACAGGAGCATTGATTTGCAACATCRCTTTACTTGATTTGAAAAAAGGTTCGCATCACATAACCATTTTCAGCCAAATGAACTATGAACTCCGGTGAGCTGTTAATGCCTTTCCAGAGCTATTACATACTAAATAGTTTCTTCATATTCTTTCAAAGCAATACGTTTAACACAAGAATTTTAGACCTGAAGATACAAGAAGCATTTAAAAATCTGAAGTAWTTCAGAAGTGGAAGTGCAGTTTTTGAAAGCACATGCCTTCCTTCTTCCCAAGAGCTTAGAATGGAAGGCACACCTTTTCACATCTTTACAAAAGCATGTATGACACTGTCACGCAGTACAGTACTGATCATCATAGTCACGTCCCATGCATACAAACCCCTATAATCAACACACACGCTGTTACAGAGTTTTATTTTGTAGAGTCAATTTGGAAACAAAATCAGGCTTGGTTAACCTTGAACAATTCCAAGGACTCCTAATGAGTGACCCACTAGTGAGAATCCTCTGGTAGCAGAATACAAGAAAAGGGCCTTTGCATCAAAATTACAATAGGAAAGTAGTTCAATCTCCCCAGACTACAGTATTTTCTTTCATAGGCATTACCCAGAATATATAAAATATATTAAAAAATTCACAATCTTACTTTTGTTGACCGGAAAATACACTAACAGATTAATGTAACGTTTACAGATTCTTAAAATCAAATTTGTTAAGTGCATCACTTGAATAAACACATAACTTAAAATAAATTAGTCTCTTCTGTTCTAATTTCCTTAGTCATCTAAGCTTCCCATTAAGACTAAAAGAGTAAATWCAAAGAAAATAAAGCACGCTTCTTTTTACATTTGCCAAGAATAGTCTTAAAAAATTCAAGTATTAGAATATCTTYATACTGATGCATCCTTATTTTATTTTTAAAAAGGCATGAATAAGCTGGAATTGTTAATACATTTTAAAATTATGTATACTTTTTATGTTAGAATGTTATCCAAAATCTAGTTATAAAAAAACGAAGTACAGTTCTAGAGAAAACTTGTAGGAAATACAGGCTTCTCAAAATTTCATTGTAAAATGGTTATGTGAGTAACTCATGCATATTTTCCTGCTCGATCCCACMATCTTTTGCAACCAAAGAGTATTTGCAAAAAGCTACCAAAAAAATTCAATAAAAATKACTGTGATGAAATTATAAGCATAGATGAGATGAACCAGCATTTTGTGCTCATCTTTTAACAGCAAATATCTTGTACCAGGGTAGAGCAGTCGTAAAGCATTTCCAGCCATACCCACAAGGGAGCACAGTGCAGCCAAAGAAAGATCTCATGTGAGAGACTGAGTGAAAGAGAACCAGATCAGTTGGTAACCAGTCCAGACAGGCTTGGTCGCAACAGTGTAAGCCAATCAGGCAGCATCCAACAAATACTGGCTTCCAGTCTTTCAAAGGGGCAAGATATAGCCCTTCAGAGAACAACAGAGCAAGTCATATCAATTCAGTCTTGCACAAATAAAACATAAAAAACTCTTAGTATTCTAAATATATTTATTTTGGCAGTCTCCCTTTATATTTAACAGTTAACACAAAGTTCAGCCATGTTTGTTAAACACTTAGCTCATGTGATGCTTGGGTGTTTTTTTACTCATCTTGTGACCAAGTCACAAGGAGGAAACCAATGGCCTAGGCACCAAGCCAATGGAGGAGCACCTTTTATTTCAAGGAAAGGCTTTTGTGTGCATCAGCACAAAATGACTCCTGCATGTGCACTACGCCTGTAAGGGTTTAATGCTGCAMATAAGGAGGGAGGTTTTCGACTGATTTTTTACATTTTGATTTTGATAAACTCAACAATTTTGGCACATCAACTTACACATTGTGTTCAATTTGTCTGGATATGAAAATTCCTTTTTTCATTTTAAGCTTGCAAGTCATATACATTTAGTCATGGGAGACATGAACACATCATTAGGCACCTCCCTCCAAAATTCAGATTTTTTTCTTGTGATGTAATGTGTGCTACATGGCACAAAACATGCCAGTGCAGCTAGGAATATGGGAGGGTCTCTTTTCTGAGCCAATTAAAAAGTTTTCCTGAATCTTCCTTATTATTTTATTATTATTACTCTGTAAAGAGACTGCAGCTCTAAAGCAACAACAGATTGTATTAGCCAGTATGGATCAGTTTAGGATCATGTGCTCAAGTAAGCAGCCCATGAGCTGCTGGAAATGATAAGCCAATCAGCAAGGAGCTGCCTGAATCCTGCCTAGTGACAGGCACCAGACAAAGGGAAGGTCATGGAAAATGAGGGGGGGGAGGGAAAAACTGCAGTCTAAACAATAGTGCACAATGGGCTTTGCATTAMATCATGGATCTAGAACAGAACCAACAAAGGGCTTCTGGAGGGCATGCAGCACTAGCCAAAAGTGCCACAACCATAAAATGTTTGCCAAAGCACAAGAACTACATAGAGGAAGTGAAGTTCACTGATCATGAGTATCAGAACTCAAATACGCAAGCCTACTTAAAATGTAGCATAGCAATATCAAGGAAAGTGAGGCAGCAAATAGTCACGAGTCTTGTGTTCTAGATGAAGAGTTCCAGAGAATAAGGCAGTCAATAAAACCTACCTTTTAAGTAGTGGTTCAT